AAATTAGGTTTTTCCAGGTTCCTTATGCCATTGCCTTTTGGATATGTCCTTCAAGTTTCTCCAAAGGTTGTCCTGAATTTAATTTGGCACTAGGGGAAAGTTAAAAAATCATAGGCTTTATCCCCACGGCTTCCAATTCCTCATCTCTTCTACCATCTTTGCGTTTTGTGATATTATCTGACACTGAAACTACCCAACAGTCAATTGTGGCCCTCAGCTCAATATAAAAAAACGGGAGGCACATCCTTGTAGAGTAAAACACGCACCCATTTATCTATTAATGTTCTAGTTTCAGCTAGCTCTATACATAAAACAGAGTGAGAAGTGATTAGAAAGGTCATTAAATCCACCTATCCCCATCCCGTGAAAGCAACTACCACACTTCTGACCGACATCCAAGTCAAAAAATATATATATGATTGAGGACTTCTTCCTAGCATTTATCTTACTTCCTTTTCTGTATTTTGAATCTCTTAATCAGTTCCAGCCTTCTGCAGCTGGCTTCCCCAACTTGACACTTTCCAGCTGTGATGTAACTTTGCAAAGTTCCCAGTCCCAACGCATCTGGAGGCCACCAGTTTGACGTTAGCTGAACTAGAGGAGAGGCCTTCAGTTCATCTCAAAATGGCAATTCTACCACCTTCAAACAGTCTCTCGCTTATGCTGAACAATTCAGGGAATGCTGCTAAAGGGCTGCTGTTCCAAGAAGCAGGCACACCAGAGGCGACACGCATAGTTTCCAGAACACTGAAGGAAACATAAACATTTGGTGCAATGTGCAAAGCCCTCATCATTCCCTAATTTCATTTGTATCTTTAATCCTTCCCTGCGATATTGAAAGAAAGAGTGGCATATAGTCAGTCCTCGGCTAAGAGTTCATTTGGTGGACAGTTCAGTTACAATAGCAGCACTGAAAAGAGACTTATGAGCGTTTTCACTTATGCTTTTCAGCATCCCCGTGATCATGTGATTAATGCTTGGGAACCAGTTCATATTTATGACCGTTGCTATGTTCCAAGATCATGTGATCACCTTTTGTGACCTTCGGAGAAGCAAAACCAATGGGGAAGCCAGATTCACTTAATGACCAAGTTATTAACTGTAGTGATTCACTTAACTGTGGCAAGAAAGGTCGTAAAATGGGGTAAAACTCACTTAACAAATGTCTCTCTTAACAGAAATGTTGGGTTCAATTATGGTCATAAGTCAAGGACTACCTGTATCATGTCATGGCCTAACCAACCACTTCCTCATGTGCCCCCCCCCGCCCCACCCACCCCAGTTACTGGCCTTAAACTCTGGAACAATAGACCTGGCAGGGGAAGAAAACAGGAGCTATTCCTCCCCAACTACCTAGCCAGTTTGACAAATTGGTATCGAGATGGGGATCAGGGCAAGAAGCCAAACTGCTTCAAGAAGATGAAGTAATGGAAAATTTCACAGGAGTGAAATTAAAGGGGGTGGGGTGGGATACCGAAAAGGCAGCAGCCCCAGTAGTGCCTTCTAATGAGAAACCCAGGGAAGGCGGTTTAATTTTAGGCATAAGAACTTTTCCTTGACTCTGATGGGAATTTGGTGAAGGAATCCAAAACAAACTGCAATTCAAAGAGCAAATAAATACCTTTGTAGTCATCTACAATCAGTAATACTCAATAAATGTATATCCAACGCAAACAACATTGTTTCTGGACTCTTTCAATAGATACTCCGTTTTAACCAGTTAGTCCTAGTATTAATTGCTGAACCTACTTCGGCCAGACACAAAGGGAGAATTATTCAGGTTTGTGATCCATTTCGGTGCATTGAAAGGTCACAAATATAAAGATTGCTGGCTAGATTTTGTGGTTACCAGCCTTGGTTGTCAAGGGAAGGAGAAGCAAGATACTTTTATCTCCTGCCCCTGGAAATAAAACCACCCTTTCCAGATATGCAACCAATCGGAACTCACCTGTATGATGCGAGTTCTTCAGTCCATCATCTACACTGCAGCAGAACCAAGACTTAGGACTACAGCATTAAACACATTTGTGACAACAAGCATTGTCGGTCAGAATGGGAATTGTGTTGCTCTCCCTCCCTCAGCGAGATTATATTTTACCATTCTCTTTGAAATAGCAATTGTAATTTGACTGTTCAAGAAGCAAGGAAGAGGACCAATAGAAGAGAATATTTGTAGCTCAGGATTGAACTCTTGAAGTCTTTGGTGCTCTCTGAGTTTGTTTGTTTGTTGCAGACATTTCATAACCAAACTAAGTAACATCATCAGTGCTGGATCTGATATCATCTAGCATCGCTGACATCACCTAATTTGATAATGAAAGGCCTATAAGAAAACCACCAAGCTCAGAGAGCACCAAGAAAGAGGATCTTGAGGAAAAGGAGGATTGTAGGAATTTGAAGCAGGGTTTGGATGATCACAAACCATGTTCACAAAAGACTGACTAGCCACTTTTGAACAGAACAACTGTCAAGATTCTAAAGAAACCTATCTTACCATGAAGAAAATGGATTCATTTATCATAGTAAAATATCGTTGTTTGAGTCAGTATATGGTGTGAAAACAGCCACCACAGTAGCAAGTAAGTATGTGTTTTATCAGTTTTAGCTTTTTCAACATGCCATAATTAAGGAAACACTGGTTTAAAATGATGTGAAAATTCAACATTTGTTCATCCTTTAGTTCTCTTAATAGTGGTGAAATTGATCTAAGAGACTTACCATGTCCAAACCTAGAACACACAAATGTTTAATTCTTTATAAACTAGAACTGAATTCAGACATTACAGTAAGCTTCCATTTCCATACCTTATATGACTTCTTGTGGTAATCATATACATATATTAGAAGGATAAAGCTGTGAGGAGTGACTACTAATTTGATATACTATGCAAATGTGTCTTATAAAAGGAAACCAGAACATATACAATTAATTTGATTGCTTGCAGGTGACCAGAAAAGCAGAAATATTTTTTTGGCTTCAACTTTGCTACACACAACTATATAATACAGATACATACATGGAAGATTGGAGAAAACTTTGGGACAGTAAAGTTACATGTGCTTATGTACAAGACTGATATCGGTCTCATAGGAAGTTAGATAAATAATAATATAATGAACTGGCTGAGCATTAAAGGCCTCCTGTTTCTAATTCATGTTTTCTCGACTGACCATTTTTCAGGACCTGCCAAACGGCATCTTCTTCAGCCATCATGAAAACAGCAAGTGCTGCAGGGAAAGGCAGAGACTCTTTCACTCAAAAAGCCTTTGCGTTCACTACACAATGAGAAGCCAATCTTACTGGATTACACAATCTGCACCCAGCCATGATAAGACATTTGGCTCAGCACACCCAGCCTTTGAAATTACAAGCTGGCAGTTGGATGGTTCCAATGTTCTGCAAACAGCGGTGGAAATTAAAGAGTGGTGTAAAAGCAAACCCTTTCTTTTTAGAGTCTGTGTAGGAACACACTGAGAACCCACCAATGTAGAACCCGAGATGGCCTTGTTTGATCTTTCAAGGATGAGAGCAGAATGAATTCCTGGTCCTTTCTGTGTGGAAAGTGACTTCTAAAACCAAGAGGAAAAGAGGAATTGCATTCCAAGATCCTAGGTTCCCTCTAAATTCCTAACTTCTCCAACTGTGAATCACTTCATGAACCCTAGAGCCAATTTGGGGTAGTGGTTAAGGTGATGGCCCAGAAGCCAAGAGACTGTGAGTTCTAGTCCCACTTTAGGCATGAAAGGTGTCTTTGAACCAGTCAGTCCATCTCTCTTAACCCTACTCACCTCAAAGGATTGTTGTTGTGGGAAAATAGGAGGATAGGTATGTTCACTGCCCTGAATATAAAGACAGGATAAAAATCTAACGAACAGGCCTGGGGAGTTCTTTTCTTTTCTTCAAGTGTTGGAAGATGTCAACCCAGGGTTTTCACTGGAGGCACAAATGACCAGGCTCAAATTATCCTACTTCGGGCACATTATGACCCAACTCCCTGGAAAAGCTCTAATGACGGGAAAAGGTGGAAGGAAAGAGAAGATGACAGCAACAAAATGGACAGACTCAGTTATGGTAGGGATGTCACCAGGAGACTGGAAAGAATAGGATAGATTGTCATGGAGAACCTCTGTGATCGCTGGGAGTCGGAAAAAGACTTGATGGAACATAATCACTAGGGCCGTTAGATACCACAGCTGTACTTCAGATTCATGATTATTAAATTAGAAATAGAAGAATGCCGCCCTCCCCCCCTTAGGTTGCCAAGTGACTAAGAAATGTTTTCCCCACTTATTGGTAAATCACTGTAGGCAACCTCCCTGCACCAAAATAACATTTTCTCCCCAAACCGCTACAGCAGAGGAACATGTCTTCATTTTCATTCTGCACGTGCAACCTGCATACATTATTCCAATTGCAAGCTGGAGTAGCAATTTCACTTTGCAAAGCAGAACAGCCGCCTGGCTAATAAAAACTCAAATTGCCAATTGGGATGCCAGATATGTGCAAAGATGGGGAAATGGCCTTAACGGCAAGCGGGTAGAGGAATAGCTTCCTGACAGATTCTTAGACATTTACTGCGGATTTACTCTCTCTCTCTCTCCCCCTCCCTCCCTCCCTCCCTCTCTCTAGATATGGTCACATAAAGACCACTACATCCAGGGCTGGGAAATTACCGCAGGAAAGCATTTTTGAAAAGCAGGCTCCAAAACCCATAACCCACTCCAAAACCCATGACTCACTCCCAGAGATTAAGGATATTCCCAGCGCATGAAAAGGTTTTGCAAACTCTCCTCGTAGAGAGCTTGACCCTGGCATATGAGACGCCCCATATGTTCCTCCCCGGGACAAAGGCACTCTGCACACGCTCAGAGGAAACTCTTTCCTCGGCGCCCATTCCGCAGGCGTTTAGCCGGGCAGGACAAAAGGAGAGCCGAGGAGGAGGAGGCGACGGCGGGGCTGCTCCCTCTGGGGATTCGTGGCTCGCAACACAGGAGGCTACCTGGTGGAGAGCGCTGATGCCGTCCGCGTTGGTGCCGTTCACCGCCGCCGCGTCGGCTCCGAGCATTTCCCGCGCCGCTTCCAGCTCGGCGCCGGCGCAGCAGGCCAAAAACTCGGCGGCCGCGTCGAAACGGACCGCGCGCGGGCGGCCGCCGGAGCCCATCCCCGGCGCTTCGTCTGCGGACGCCGGCAGCCCAGCCGGAGCGGGCGAAGGCGCGGAGACGGCGGGAGGCGGGGTCGGGAGAAGAGCAGCGGTAGCGGCGGCGGCGGCAGCCTCGGCCTCGGCCCATGCACGGAGTTGTTCCCGCCGCCGCGCCCGGGCGCCTTCTCCCTCGGAGAGAGAGAGCAGCGGCGCCGCCATTTTCTTCCTCTACTGCAGCCACCGGCGCCGCCAGCCCGGCTGGGCGGCCCTCCCGGCCCAGCTCCGCGGTAGGCTGAAAAGCAGCAGAAGGAACGCCTCTCGGCTTCCGTATCCAGACGGGAAGGAAAAGGGGGGGGGTTGCAAGATGGGAACTGAGAGGGAGGGGGAGAGAAAGCGAGCGAGCGAGAGACAAACACACGCAGAGAACTTGTGAGGCATCACGGGAAATGGAGTCCTAGTTCCATTCTTCCTCGGTGTGACGGGAGTTATTAATCTTCGCTTTCTCATCCCTTGGACCATAATTTTCCATGGGGACGAAACACCCCTTTTAAACTTCATTATTTATATACTAGTTGCATACTTTTTCAGCCTTTTACTCTGGAACAGAATTTCGCCCTTAAGGAATAGATCATCATTGTATCCCACTCTAATCCTATCTCTATGGAACTCTTTTTTTAAAAAAAGAATCTTTAATAGCCTGCGCGCTATTGTTATTATTCTCTCCCGCAAGTGCTCCTGGGAGATGAAGTCCATACGAAGTGAGAAGAGTTTTAATAGTAACATTTAAAAAAAAACGCTCTAATTCCGAGGGGAGATTCTGAGCTAACTTCCTACTAAGTCGTTCACAATTTCCACAGTTTAGAATGGCTTTTATAGGATTTACGAAGTTAGCATGGGGAAAAAAAACCACCCAAAGTTTCTCCGAAGGTGGGGCAGAGTTGAATATCTCTATGGGCCCTCGCCCTAAACATTTTTTGACATTTTTTTGAAGGGTGATGTCAATGAATACCCATAAAACTGGAAGAAGTTTGGCACAGAGTGCTTTTATTGTTTACGGTTGCTCCCTCTAAACAAGCAATCTAACTATATTGTCTATTGGTGCTATATAAATATAATAGTGTAATTGTATATTATTCATACTATTATAGGGATGCCAAGGGAATTGAGCAGTATGGAGTTACTACATCTGGGCTGCTCATTTTCGACCACTGGGGGACCTCAAAGAGAGGTGTGTTTTTTCCTGCTCAGTATCTCATTGTCGTCCTCTTAATTTTCCAGATTTTGAGTGTTCAGAATTACTTAGTTGTTTCCTAAATTTTAAATAATCCGTTTTTTATATTGTATTTATGCAATTCCAAGTCTGTTTTCCTTCATTTTTTTTCTTTCTTTCTCCATGTACACAAATACAGCTGCCCATGTGGTGAAAATTATTTTATCTGAAGCTTATGAGAACTACTGTACTTCTAATTTATATAAGCTACCCAGAAACCTCAAGCAAGAAAGACAGAATGTATCTGAGCCATCATGGGTAGTAAGTTAGGTATGAGTCTACACAGCTGCTACATGGCAGTAAAGCACCAATATTAATACTCTTCCACTCACTTTGCTTCTGTAGATGGTCATGTAATAGCACCATATACAATGAGGCAAAAAGTATTTAGTCAGCCACCAATTGTGCAAGTTCTCCTGCTTAAAAAGATGAGAGAGGCCTGCAATTGACATCATAGGTAGACCTCAACTATGAGAGACAAAATGAGAAAACAAATCCAGACAATCACATTGTCTGATTTGGAAAGAATTTTTTTGCAAATTATGGTGGAAAATAAGTATTTGGTCACCTACAAACAAGCAAGATTTCTGGCTCTCACAGACCTGTAACTTCTTCTTTAAGAGGCTCCTCTGTCCTCCACTCATTTACCTGTATTAATGGCACCTGTTTGAACTTGTTAGCAGTATAAAAGACACCTGTCCACCACCTCAAACAGTCACACTCCAAACTCCACTATGGTGAAGACCAAAGAGCTGTCGAAGGACATCAGAAACAAAATTGTAGACCTGCACCAGGCTGGGAAGACTGAATCTGCAATAGGCAAGCAGCTTGATGTGAAGAAATCAACTGTGGGAGCAATAATTAGAAAATGGAAGACATACAACACCACTGATAATCTCCCTCGATCTGGGGCCCCACGCAGGATCTCACCTTGTGGGGTCAAAATGATCACAAGAATGGTCAGCAAAAATCCCAGAACCACTGGGGGGGGGGAACCTAGTGAATGACCTGCAGAGAGCTGGGACCAACATAACAAAGGCTACCATCAGTAACACACCAGGGACTCAAATCCTGCAGTGCCAGACGTGTCCCCCTGCTTAAGCCAGTACATGTCTGGGCCAGTCTGAAGTTTGCTAGAGAGCCTTTGGATGGTTCCGAAGAGGATTGGGAGAATGTCATATGGTCAGATGAAACCAAAGTAAAACTGTTTGGAAGAAACACAACTCCTCGTGTTTGGAGAAGAGAATGCTGTTGCATCCAAAGAACACCATACCTACTGTGAAGCATGGGGGTGGCAACATCATGCTTTGTGGCTGTTTCTCTGCAAAGGAAACAGGACGACTGATCCGTGCACAGGAAAGAATGAATGGGGCCATCTATTATGAGATTTTGAGTGCAAACCTCCTTCCATCAGCAAGGGCATTGAAGATGAAACATGGCTGGGTCTTTCAGCAAGACAATGATCCCAAACACACTGCCCGGGCAATGAAGAAGTGGCTTCGTAAGAAGCATTTCAAGGCCCTGGAGTGGCCTAGCCAGTCTCCAGATCTCAACCCCATAGAAAACCTTTGGAGGGAGTTGAAAGTCCGTATTGCCCAGCGCCAGCCCCAAAACATCACTGCTCTAGAGGAGATCTGCATGGAGGATGACTAATTTTTTGCCCCACTGTAGGGCAATGTTTCTCAACCTTAGCAACTTTAGATGTGTGAAGTTCAACTTACAGAGTGTGTCAGCCAGTTGTGTGGGGCATTCTGGGAATTGAAGTCCATGCATCTTAACGTTGCCAAGGTTGAGAAATACTGATCCAAAAAAACTTCCTGGGAGGCTCTTGGTATCTTTTCATACAACCTTTTGCTGATAAAGTCAATCACATTTGCCCAAGTCTTGACTCTTTATGGGATGGTTCTGAAGCAACAACTGTGAATATTACTTAGGATTCCTCACAGTCTGTGGATTGAATCAAGTGAATAAGGGACCTTTTACATAAGTTCTACCAGTTGTGATCCAGACTATGACCCTCCTCACGTTTTTGAGAGCTTGATAATCTGGATCTGAGAGGTAATCCTTGCCTTGTTATGAGAGAGAGCATGATGCCAACATTGAAAGTGGAATTCCATAGTATGGCATTGCAGCATCAAGTACCCCTTCACATGTGTATAACAATGTAGGTAAAGGCGGGACTAATTTAACAGCCACATCTTCCCTATCCCTATTTTTTTATTACTATTATTCTGGATTTTTAACCATTTGCTGGATGTATTTCCACATTCAGAAGAATTTGTGTTATTTTGTTAATCTGCTGTTCTCTGATACATAAATATGGGTTTGGGGGACACAAAGCAGAAGTAGGCAAGCTTTTGATTTGGGGGAATGTTCTTAATTGTGTGGGGGAGATGTGTCTAGAGATGGCAGAACGATGGTTCCACATGGGCAATGTGATATAGATATTGGTGGGATTAAGGTGTGATTTTTGAGGAGAGGGGGAAGGATAGTGATGATCCTTCCTTCCTTCCTTCCTTCCTTCCTTCCTTCCTTCCTTCCTTCCTTCCCCATTTTTGTTGAGTTCCATTGTTAGAAAACAATGCCTTAAACTTGCAGAGATTATAGTTGGAAGGTGATCCAGATGTCTCAGATTGGAGCTTTGAGACTTCAGACAATTTTGAGATTATAAACTCTTCAGTCCTGGTATAAACAAAAGCAAAAAAAAAGGAGAGGCCTGCTTTGGCAGTTATAAATAGAACCTCTAAGACAGGAGTCTCCAATCTTGATAACTTTAAGCCTTGGCAGAATTCAACTCCCAGAAGTCTTCAATTCTGGGAGTTGAAGTCCGCCAGGCTTAAAGTTGCCATGGTTGGAGACCCCTGCTCTAAGATACTGTTTATCAACTTTAAGCATTTTGGCTGGGGAATTCTGGGAGTTGAAGTCCATGTATCTTGAATCTGCTGAGGTTGAGAAACACTGCTCTAAATGATACCGCATCTCCACCAGAAGTCAGAAGAGGATCGGTTTCACAAAAAGATGTTGATAAAGCTGGGCCCCCAAAAAATGTGTGCAAATAAGTCAATACATTTTTCCAGTTCCAATCACTTTGCAACTTTAACCTCTCCCCCACCCCTCGTTTCATTATCAATTAAAACATTATTTGTTTCCATTTGTCATTGATACCAGAAAGAAATTGAATTGCTGGAGAGATTCATGAAGAAGAGAGGTTGATTTATTGTGTGGCTTGTGGCACAAGACTGGTCAGAGAGGCACATGACAAGGATAGGAAAGCATTCAATTCAACACAAAGCAACACAAGGAGAAAAGAAAAGGATGAGATGTAATCAGCAGTCACTTCTGTTGCCAGGGAGACTTTCAGATTGGGCTCCACATGCTGAGTTTCTTCCCTTTTACTTCCAGCGACCACCAAGCCTGGTTTTTCCAGCACCCTTTTTGCTGTTGAGGAGAATATGCACACATATATATATATAACAATGTGTGGTTACTAACAGCAAACATTTTTGTACAATATTCACACAGAGATGTATACTTTCTGTGTAAAATTAAAACCAAAATTCTAAGACATAAATATGCATTTATTCCTGAAAGTTATATAACAGATACTGACTTTGCATTTGAGATGATTCCCACACACACACGCCCAAAAAAGGAGAAGAAAAAAGTATAAACATGGAATGGAGAGGAGCCTTTGCAATCCCCGGCTTCCCTGCCATGTTGAAACAATAAATATATAAAGAATCCAATTTATAAAAATAAAGTATATCT